CATAATGACATCTCTTAATTCTTTATCATTAAGTTTCTCCCCATCCTTGTCAACAGCATCAATAAACAAAGTTAACATATCATTTGTTTTTTTTCCGACTTCAATGTCTGATCTACGGCTATTTATAATATTATATACATAACTATCAATATTTTTGCTAGATTTACGTATTTGTCTGCCTTTTTCGCTATATAATTCAATATATTTCCATAAAGGTTGTTCCCATCGCCAATCTACAATTCTTTGAGCATGATCAAAATCAATGGCAAATTGAACTGGTTTTTCAGGGGATGTTAAACAATCAAAGTCTACACTGAAGAAAACGCTTTAAATATATATAAATATTTATAATTAATATAAAAAGATGATTAACACAAAAGATTTTATAAAATTAATTATTATTGAAAACACTAATGAAAAACTTACTCTCCCAAGGTATCCAAAGTGAACCTATAAAATAAATCTTGTAAATCAATTGGTTTTCCATTATCAGCACATTTCCGTAAAATGTCTAATACCGTCTTAGACTTTTTTACCATGCTTTCGTAGATAAAGTCTCTGAAATTTCTTTCTTGAAATAGATAACTTAATACTCTTCTTTGAAATTTCCACTGATATCTTTTGTAAAATATGAACAAAATATTAATTACAATATTTAATTCATAGAAAAATAAATTTAAATATACAGTCAACTTTTTCTAAGTGAAACTTGCTAGGACTTTAAATTTAACATGCATCATTCTGGTTATGTAGACATCTCAGAAACAAAGGAATTATTATTACGTAATTTCTTTTTACTAGAGGGACAGACACTCTCCCTCCTAGGTGATCAAATTAGCAACCAGTCACAATGTTTACAAAATATAGATGTGAGAGGTTGCTAACCTCACCTCCCTCCTAAAATTACGTAATAAACGGCACTTCCCTAAGCATATAGGTTCAAAAATTTAAAATGCCGCTATAACCATAATGAAATGTATAAATCTTGCACTTAAAGAGAAATTGCGGTCACGCTTATAGGTAGTGTACTTAGAGAAAATCGAATGCCTATTGAAAATATTAAACAAACCTATCAACACCAAATATTCCATCACCGAATAGATCATATAATAATTCATGTAAAATGTCACCTTTTTCAAAACATTCAAAATTCGCTAATGTTGTAAACAGGCAGTTAATAAATGTAACCATTAATTTTAATGTTCAATTTAATATGAAAGCACACTTTTGAGCATATGTTCTAATAACTGTGGATCATTAATCAAAATAAATCGACCTTTTTGGGGGATAGAAAACGTGCTATTTTATAAAAAACAAAAATTAGCATAAATAATTACATTCATGAAATTTAATATACCGGGTGTCCCAAAAGTTCCTATACATGATCCCTTTTTTTTTTTTAAGTGTTGCATAAATAACAATCGTAATCTCTGTATAAGGTCACTTTAAAAAAAAAAGGGAGAAACTTTTGGGACACCCGGTATAACTTTCCAGAAGTTAAATATAAAACTTACAAAACGGGGCCATACTTATCGATCAGATCAAGAACATAATACATGTATCCTTTACTTCTCAACAATGAAATAAAATTTCCGAGAATTGGAAAACCACGAGGACCCTTAAGCTCTGGCCTTGCCTTTGTACTTATAGCACGATCAGGATACTTTATTCCAAGATAAATGACATAACTTACAAGAGTAAGTAAGAATACAATGAAAATATCGATAATCATGATATGATTGTTATTATAATGTATTTTTTTAAAATGCGTGCAAGTGAATCGAAAAATGAAATATGGAGCTTCTCATTTAAATGCCAAATATATTTATATGCGTCATCCGATATAGACAATCAACAAACCTGCATAGGACCCCGGATAATACTAAGAGGGGTACGATTATTAAACCAGACAAGTTTTAAATTTTTAACAAAGGTTTTTCCAAAATTAATTTTACAAATCAAACCCGAAAAACACTATGATTATGTTGTGCTTACAGCTGTTTTCATAAATTCTGGGACCCTAAAAAAATTTGCCGAATTCGATAAGCGGTGCTATATAAATGCATAACACATATGTATTTACTACTAAGATTTTTCAAACATATTCGTTGGAAAATAGTTAAAAGAACTTAGAAGGCTTAAGTTAGAGTAATTGCTAAA